ATTAAAGGGAGTTCTCTAAGTGAAAAAGAAAAGGCCACAACTAGTAACATGAAAATTACAAAAGGAAAAAGCTCACTGGTAAAGGCAAATATACAGTGAAGGTGGTAAATCAACCATGTACAGAGCTAGTATGAAGGTTAAAAGACAAAAGTAGTAAACTTGTCTATGTCTGTAATAAGTAGTTAAGGGATACAGAAAACAAAAAGTTGTAAAATATGTCAAAACCAGTAATCATGAGGGGGAGTAAAAATGCAGAATTGTTAAAATGTGTTTGAAACTAAGGGATCAGCAACTTAAAATAATCATATCTATATCTATCTATCTATCTATCCATCCAACCATCCATCCATCAATCTAGAAAGAGATTGCTATATATAAACCTCATGGTAACCAAAAACCAAAAATCTATAATAAATACATACACAAAAAAGAGAGAGGAATCCAAACATAACACTAAATATAGTCATCAAATCACAAGGGAAGAACAAAAGAAGAAGAGAACAAAAAAGAACTACAAAAGCAATCCCCCAAAATTAACAAAATGGCAATAAGTACATACCTATCAATAATTACTTTAAATGTAAATAGACTAACTGCTCCAATCAAAAGACAGAGAGTGGCTGAATGGATACAAAAACAAGACCCACATAGACATATACATATATACCCATATATATAGTGACTCTACAAGAGACTCACTTCAGATCTAAAGACACACACAGACTGAAAGTGAGGGAATAGAAAAAGGTATTCCATGCAAATGGAAATCAAAAGAAAGCTGGGGTAGCAATACTTATATCAGGCAAAATAAACTTTAAAACAAGACTATCACAAGATACAAAGAAGAATATTATGTAATGATCAAGAGCTCAATCTAAGAAGAAGATAAAACAATTGTAAATATATAGGCATCCAACACAGGAGTACATAAATACATAAAGCAAACATTAACAGATATAAAGGGAGAAACTGACAGTAACCCAATAATAATAGAAGATTTTAACACACCATTTACATCAATGGACACATCATCCAGACAGAAAATCAATAAGGAAACACTGGCCTTAAATGACACATTAGACCAGAGGGACTTAATTGATAGAACATCCCATTCAAAAGCAGCAGAATACACGTTCTGTTCAAGTGCACATGGAACATTCTTCCAGGATAGATCACATGCTAGATGACAAAAATATATCAGTAAATTTAAGAAAACTGAAATCATATGAAGCATCTTTTCCAACAACAATGCTATGAGACTAGAAATCAACTACAAGAAAAAACTGCAAAAACACAAACACATGGAGGCTAAACAGTATGCTACTAAACAACAAATGGATCACTGAAGAAATCAAAGAAGAAATTTAAAAATACCTGGAGACAAATGAAAATGAAAACACAATGATCAAAAATCTATGGGATGCAGCAAAAGCAGTTCTAAGAGGAAAGTTTATAGTGATACATGCCAACTCAGGAAACAAATATCAAATAAACAACCTAATCTTACACTTAAAGGAATTAGAAAAAGAAGAAAAAACAAAACCAGAAGTTAGTAGAAGGAAAAAAAATCATAAAGATCAGAACAGAAATAAATGAAATAGAGACAAAGAAAGAAAGAAAGAAAGAAACTAAGAGCTGATTCTTTGAAAACATAAGCAAAATTGACAAACCTTTAGCCAGACTCATCAAGAAAAAAACAGAGAGGGCCCAAATCAGTGAAATCAAAAGTGAAAAAGGAGAAGTTACAACTGACACCACAGAAATACAAAGGATCATAAGAGCTTACTTTGAACAGCTATATACCAAGAAAATGGACAACCTAGAAGAAATGAGAAAATCCCTAGAAATGTACAATCTCCCAACACTGAACCAGGAAGAAATAGAAAATATGAACAAGCAAATCACCAGCAATGCAACTGAATATGTAATAATAATAATAAAAGAGCTCCCAACAAACAAAAGTCCGGTACCAGATGGCTTCATAGATGAACTCTACCAAACACTTAGAGAAAAGTTAACACCTATCCCTCTCAAACTATTCCAAAAATTGGCAGAGGAAAGAATGCTCCTAAACTCATTCTACAAGGTCAGCATTACCCTGATACCAAAGATATCACAAAAAAGAAAATTACAAAAAAAAAAGAAAATTACAGTCCAATATCACTATGAACATACATGAAAATATCCTCAACAAAATATTAGCAAACTCAATCCAACAATATATTAAAAGGACCATACACCATGATCAAATGAGATTTATCCCAGGGATGCAAGGATGGTTCAAGATTTGCAAATCAATCAAGGTGATACACCATGTTAACAAACTGAAGATTAAAAATAATGTGATCATCTCAATAGATGCAAAAAAAGCTTTTGACAAAATTCAGCCCCCATTTATTATGAAAACTCTCCACAAAATGGGTATAGAAGGAACATACCTCAATGTAATAAAGGCCACATATGACAAGCCCACAGCTCACATAATTCTCAACAGTGAAAAGCCAAAAGCATTTCCTCTAAGATAAGGAAAAAGACAAGGATGTCCACTCTTGCCACTTTTATTCAACATAGTACTGGAAGTTCTAGCCATAACAATCAGATAAGAAAAAGAAATAAAAGGAATCCAAATTGGAAAGGAAGAAGTAAAACTGTTGCTCTTTGCAGATGACATGATACTATACATATAAAATCCAAAGGACACCACCAAAAAACTACTAGAGCTCATCGATGAATTTGGTAAAGTTGCAGGATACAAAATAAATATACAGAAATCTGTTGCATTTCTATACTCTAAGTACAAACTATGAGAAAGAGAAATTTAAGGATTTACAATTGCATTAAATAGAATAAAATACCTAGGAATAAACCTAACTAAGGAGGTAAAAGACCTATACTCAGAAAACTATGAGACACTGATGAAAGAAATGGAAGACAACACAAATAGAAAGATATTCCATGTTCATGGATTGGAAGAATAAATATTGTTAAAATGACTATACTACCAATACAATCTACAGATTCAATTCAATCCCTATCAAAATACCAGTGGCCTTTATCCTAGAACTAGAACAAATAATTTTAAAAACTTGTATGGTAGCACAAAAAACCCTGAATAGACAAAACAATTTTGAGAAAGAAGTACAGAGCTGAAGGTATCATGCTCCCTAACTTCAGACTATACTACAAAGCTGCAGTCATCAAAACAGTATGGTACTGGCACAAAAAACACATAGAGCAATGGAACAGAAAAAAGAGCCCAGAAATAAATCCACACATTTATGGTCAATTAATCTGTGACAAAGGAGGCAAGAATATACAATGGGGAAAAGATATTTTCTTCAATAAGTGGTGCTGAGAAACTGTACAGCTACATGTAAAACAATGAAATCAGAACATTTTCTCACACCTTATACAAAAATAAACTCAAAATAGATTAAAGAGCAAAATGTAAGACCAGAAACCACAAAATTCCTAGAAGAAAACATAGGCAGAACACTCTTTGACATAAATCATAGTAAGAGTTTTTTTGAATCTGTCTCCTAAGTCAAAGGAAACAAAAATATACAAATGGTACTTAAAAGCTTTTGCACAGCAAAGGAAACCATTGACAAAACAAAAAGACAACCTACTGAATGGGAGGAAATATTTGCAAATGATATGACCAATAAAGGGTTAATATCCAAAAATATATAAATGGCTCATACAACTTAATATTAAAAAAACACACAACCCAATAGAAAAATGGGCAGAAGACCTAAGTAGACATTTTTTCCAAATGACCACTTGGCCAATCAGCACATGAAAATATGCTCAACATCACTAATCATCAGAGAAACGCAAATCAAAACCACAATGAGATATCACCTCACAGCTGTCAGGATGGCCACCGTCAAAAAGAACACAAATAACAAATGTTAATGAGGATGTGAAGAAAAGGGAACCCTTGTACACTGTTGGTGGGAATGTAAACTGGTGCAGCCCCTGTGGAAACAGGACAGAGGTTCCTCAAAAAACTAAAAATAGAACTACCATATGACCCAGCAATTCTTTGGGTATATACCCAAAGAAAATGAAAACACTGATTCAAAAAGACACATGCACAAAACAGAAACAGACCCACAGACATAGAAAACAAACTTATGGTTACCAAAGAGGAAGGTGCAGGGTGGGGAGAGAGGGATAAATTAGGAGTATGAGGTTAACAGATACAAACTTCTATACATAAAATAAGCAACAAGGATTTACTGTATAGCCCAGGGAACAATATTCAATATCTTGTAATAACCTATAATGGAAAATAATCTGAAAATATATACACATATATGTATATAACTAAATCACTTTGCTGTACACTTGAAACTAACACAACATTGTAAATCAACTATACTTCAATAAAAAAGATACATGCACCCTAATGTTCAGAGCAGCATTATTTGCAATAGCCAAGATATGGAAGCAACCTAAGTGTTCATGAATAGATCAATAGATAAAGAAGATGTGGTATACATATATACAATGGAATATTACCCAGCCATAAAAATGAATGAAATTTTGCCATCTGCAACAGCATGGATGGAGTTGGAGGGTATTATGCTTAGTGAAATAAGTCAGACAGAGAAAGACAAATACTGTATGTTATCATTTATATGTGGAATCTAAAAAATAAGACAAATGAATGAGTAACAGAAACAGATTCACAGATATAGAGAACAAACCAGTGGTTACCAGTAGGGAGAGGGAAAGGGGGAAGGGACAAGACACAGGAAGGGGATTAAGAGGTACAAACTACTATGTATTAAATAAATAAGCTACATGGATATATTGTACAGCGGAGGGAATATAGCCAATATTCTATAATGACTTTAAATGGAGTATAATCTGTAAAATTTTGAATCACTTTGTTGTACACCTGAAACTAATATAATAAATCAACTATGCCTCAATAAAATATAAATAAAATAAAATAAAATAAAAAGGAATTATAACTAGAATTTCCTCACCAGTCTGCTCTGAAAGCCATTCCAGTTTTGGATTCATGAGCTGTTTAGAGGAAGGTGCTCTCTCTCCCCTGCTCTTTCAGTGTTCCCAGTTGTCGTAATTGCAAGTGGATGTAGCTAAAGACAAATGAGAAACATAAACTGAGTGGTTTAGAAGAACAATTTGGAGAGCCTAGCTCTTTCTAAATGCCAGGGACTTTCAGGTGTTAAGAGCCTGAAAAGAATGTCAGGTTAGCTGACCAGAATTTTTATGATTAAAGAGAAAAGTTGGCTCCCCTGGATCTCTGATCTATCCCAGTGGGAAAAGGGGCAGACCCCTCCTACTGCAACACCACTCCATCCTTGCTGCTGGAGGACACGCACGGGGAGATACCTGAGGGGGTCACCTGCTTGCTTTCCCTTCTGTTTGGCAGTGAAGTTGAAGATCACCAGCCTTGTCCTGTAGCAGGGAGAGACATTTTGGAGGGGAAAAAAAGTCCCCTGGTTTCCCAGGAGCACTTGGGATAAACGTAGGGTTTCCAAAGATTTCTGATGATAAGAACCAACTGAGGCACTTACTCTCCCTTGGAAATGTTGGTTCTGTTGAGCTGAGTTGGGAACTCACATGCTGACATTTAAAAAAAGTGGCCCAGGTGATTTTTATCATCAGGCAAGTTTGGGAAGCCCTGCCCTAGGGCAAGAGGGCAACTCCTCCTGGACCTTGAACTCATGCCTGCAAAAGGGAGCTGATATAATATTTAACCCCTGAAGAGACACACCTGTTTGGAGAAGATCTGTCTAGGAAAGTTACAGGGCTACAGTTACTATTCTGTGGAGGACGAAATTGGTTGGGGCTCTTCTGAAGTTCTGTAGTTATGAATGACAGATCATGTCATTGAAGGGCAAGTTTTCTTCTTGAAATCAGCTTGGGTTTGGTTGCAAAACACAGCAGACTTGAAAATCCAGCTGTTTACTTCACGATGGAAACTGGGGATGGTGCTGCCACTACCGAGCCAGGGTCTGAAGTGCGTGTCCCTGAGACCCCAGGTCATACCTGATGCTCTGCCAGTGACGTGGTGCATGGAAAGGCCTCTAGGGTGTCTTTCCTCTCCCACAGCTGGAATTGTTCCCCAAATGCTGAAAGCAAAGGCACTTGGAGCTGGCCAGGAAAGAGCAGGACCTCAGAGCTTTGTGAGAGTTGCTATGAAAGTTTAAGTGTCATCACAACTAGAGATTCCTGGGGTGGGAAGGAAAACAGGCAGTCATGAAACAGGTCTCTATTTCTAGTGAGCTGACCCAGCAGGAAAGTTGGGTTAGATTCCTGAGCATGTGGTGGACACATCAAGGGCCCCTGCACAACCAGAGGCCCTGGGGGGGTCCTCTGCTATTTCTACAATCTTGGTTTGGGTAGGATGCAAACAGAGCCTTGAAGCAGTGCCTAACACATCTAAAAAAGTACCGCCTGGCACATAAGATGGGCTCAGTAAAAACTTTCTGAATGAGTGAATGAATGGGAAGAGAGAGAGCTTGTCATTGAATTGCAAATCAGAGGCCTCCAATTGTTGACAATATATGGAGAAAGATTCAGGCTTCATTTCTCAGACCTTTATTCTTCTAAACAAAGTTCAGGGCTCTGCATGTTCTACTCTGTTAACCACAGAAGCCCAAAGTTCTTCCATAACTAATCTGAACCTGGGATTCCTTTGCTCTGCTCTCAGGAGCTCTCACAACCTCTTTCCCCTTGAAGCAGTGTAAGGATGATGGAGCAGGGCCGCGGCCGCATGGAAGATTTCCCTCTCAACGTGTTTTCGGTCACTCCTTACACACCCAGTACTGCTGACATCCAGGTGTCGGATGACGACAAGGCGGGGGCCACCTTGCTCTTCTCAGGCATCTTCCTGGGACTGGTGGGGATCACGTTCACCATCATGGGCTGGATCAAACACCAAGGAGCCTCCCACTTTGAATGGACCCAGCTCCTTGGGCCCATCCTGCTGTCAGTGGGGGTGACATTCATCCTGATTGCCATCTGCAAGTTCAAAATGCTCTCTTGCCAATTGTGCAAAGAAAGTGAGGAGAGGCTCCCGGACTCAGAGCAGATGGCAGGAGGACAATCGTTTGTTTTCACTGGTATCAACCAACCCATCACCTTCCATGGGGCCACCGTGGTGCAGTACATCCCTCCTCCTTATGGCTCTCAAGAGCCCATGGGGATGAACACCACCTACCTGCAGCCAGTGGTGAACCCGTGTGGCCTCATACCATCTGGAGGGATGGTGGCCACCATGCCAAGCCCTCCTCAGTACTACACCATCTACCCTCCAGAGAATGCTGCCTTTGTTGATGACCAGGACTACCTTTCCTCCGTGGACGGTGGAAATGACAGGTAGGATGTGTGCCTTGGCGATGCTCCCCTTCCAGCTGTGGCAGTCACGGTCTATGTCTGTGTTTGGTCTGTAAGGAAGGTGGTGGGAGACTGCAGATCTCCGTGTGGCCCGTTGCCAGGATGGTGGCATTGGTTCTGAGAGCGGTGCTGTGGGCTGTAATGCATTTTGTGCTTTCTGCTCCCGTTTCAGGACTGGCCCTGATGCTGAGCAGATAGAAGAGACACAGCTGGGAGATGAGGACTCTGCCTGCTTCTCTCCTCCCCGCTATGAGGAAATATGCTCCCTCCCTCGCTAGAGACTATGCGGCTGGGGGCACAGAGTTTTAGCTTTTTGCTGACAACTGAAGTGTTCCATGCTGTGACCTTCAGAAGTTAGACAACAGAGCAGCCCAGGAAGCCTGACAGATACCATTCGAGGTGGGGAAGGGGGAAATGGGAGGTAGAATCTCTGACTGTTAAAAATTAGGCTAGGGTGGGGATATGCACTTCCGATCGAGCTAGAAATCCCCTGGATATGGCTCAGGATCAGGAATTTCACCTGTTTATTCACCACCCGCCCCTTTCCCACTGGAACGCACTGGTGTCTTAATTTGAGCTCCAGTAGCCAAGGGAAAACTCACTACTGCTGTGACTTTGGGAGTTTCCACAGTAGTGAGAATGGGGGTAGGGGAAGGAAGCAGGGAATAGAAAACGGGCTCAAATGGAGATTTCCCAGTTCCTGTTCTCAGCTGGGGATCTTCATACATATAAGAACTTGGTTGCCATCTGGCGTCCCTTGAGGACTCTGGCATCTTAAAGGATGCAAAAATAAATGAATTAAATGGAATAAAATAATGTCTTCTGTTAGAACAGTATTAGATAGCTGGCTAATAAAATAGACAACTGATGGGAACATACTGTGTAGCATAGGGAACTCTACCTAATGCACTGTGGTAACCTAAATGGGAGGGAAGTCCAAAAGGGAGGGGATATCTGTATGTGTATGGCTGATTCATTTTGTTGGGCAGTGGAGGCTAACGCAACATTGTAAAGCAACCATGCTCCAATAAAAATTAATTAAAAAAAATAATAGGACAATGATGTCAATAAATCCTTAAGTTACCACGGAGAGACACATCACAGCGACTCGCAGCTGTCGATGTTCTCTCTAGCAAGGCTGAAGCTTGAGGTGCCCACCCCAGCATGGGATTTGTGCTGGACCCAGTGGCCAACAGAACACGAGCACCTCCCTACACATAGATGAGATCTGTTAAATTAGACAGAATAGAGCTGCTGTGTCAACACCTGGAAAATCATGTCATGGAAACAATCTTTACGGTCAAGATAAGCTCGCCTTCTTTATAAAAATACTTAGGTGCTCTTAATCTCCCAGAATCTGGGCTGTGTAATAAACAACCAGAACAGATCCACAGGCTTTAGAAGAGACAGACTAAACCATCAGAGTTTAAAAGAAAGTGTTTTCCATAGGCTACAAAGGTAGGCCACTCAAGGTAAGGGTGCGTGGCTCATCCCAAAGGAAGACCAGGATTTAGCAATCCTTTAGAGTTTTGGTACTGTGTTCGTATATGGAGTGATTTTTACTAATCTTTATCAGAAGTATCTAGTTTTCCAAAGATATGATTAAAATAAGCTTGGTATATTATTATTGTGATTTGTATTATATCTTAGGGGCGAAATCTCTTTTTTAATTTAATTTTTATTTTATATTGGGGTGTAGTTGATTTAAAATACTGTAACACACTCTCCTTTAATGGTCATTGCTACTTTTTTTTTTGTATCTATATTGTACTTCACTTTTCTTAACATCTTTATTGGAGTAAAATTGCTTTACAATGGTGTGTTAGTTTCTGCTGTAAAACAAAGTGAATCAGTTATACATATACATTTATCGCCATATCTCCTCCCTCTTGTGCCTCTCTCCCACCCTCCCTACCCCACCCCTCTAGGCGGTCACAAAACACCGAGCTGATCTCCCTGTGCTATGTGGCTGTTTCCCACTAGCTATCTATTTTACATTTGGTAGTGTGTATATGAATATATATGTCCATGCCACTCTCTCACTAGGGACGAAATCTCTTTGTATGAGAATTCATTTTCATGTTCAGTGATAGCAGGTGATTGAAAAATATGATTCAGTTAACAGAAAATAGCTTTTTGCTCAGCATATTCATGAAACACTGGACTCCTGGCTGAGGGCCATCAGTTCAGGGAGGACGTTAGGTGACAGGGACATAGTTGAGCACCACCAGTGGCATGCCCACCGGCAACGCCCACACATCTGCCTCCTTCATCCCTCTCCCTCGTCATCCTCACCCACCGCATAACTTTATGTTCCTGGATTTGGGTACCAATGAGCATCAAGGGTAGTTCAAAAGGGAAAGAGATGTTAAGAAAGGACAACCACGTGTGAAAGGTGGGACGGTGGGACAGCTACTTTGTCTCAGTGATGCCTGGAGTCCGATGTGCAGGGAAGTGGCCTTGGGGGCTTTTTAGCTCTAGGCTGCAGTCATTCAGCACCAACTGTCCCTGTTCCAAGGCAGACAAAGTGCTAACGCAGAGGTAGTTTATGCTTCTGGAGACAGTGCGCCAGAGCTGACAGCCCAAGGTGGGAGGTGGGGCTCAGAAGATAGGAATTCAGCACTTATTTATTGAGCACGTCCTCTGTGTCAGGACCTGGGCCATCAAGTAGGGTTATAACATTGAAAAACTGAACCCGCAGAAAAGCAGCTACGGCTAGTCGAGAGAGAGAGACAGCTACTGATCACTTATGCCCTGACACCCAAGAGGGGTCCTGGAGCCATAAGAGGGATTTGGACTAGTCAGGAGGGTCAACAGAGCTGACTTGGGAAAGTGAAGTCAGGACCACGGCCCTGTATAACCCCAGGAGCACCGTTACACGGAGAGCCATGACGTCGGACTCCCTGGGCCTCTGAGGCCGGTGCCAGGAGCTAGAGGAACAGCGGCTGATACTAGACAAAGGGGAGGAGGAGGGGCCAGCTGTGTAGACCTTTCTATTTTGCTGCTGCTACAGCCTTCAAACAGAGCTGCCGGGCTTCCCTGGTGGCGCAGTGGTTGAGAGTCCACCTGCCGATGCAGGGGACACGGGTTCGTGCCCCGGTCCGGGAAGATCCCACATGCCGCGGAGCAGCTGGGCCCGTGAGCCATGGCCGCTGAGCCTGCGCGTCCGGAGCCTGTGCTCCGTAATGGGAGAGGCCACAACAGTGAGAGGCCCGCGTACTGCAAAAAAGCCCAAAACACAAAAAAAACAGAGCTGCCTTCCAGCACCTGGGAAATTATATCCACCAGCTCTCTGGCTTCGAAGCAACCCCACCATGCTCTCTTTCTGTTTTCCTTTGGGGTTGCAGGGGCCAACATAATGGGAAGCCCACCAACTGGCCCCTGGACTCTGACGCCAGGTCTTCGCTGGTCTCTTTGACCAGCGAGGACACACTTCTGGCAGAGTTTCAGGTTTGTTTTGTGGATATTTGCCTTTTCTCATTCTCTCTCTCAGTATCTTATCAGCGCTGAATGGAGGACTGTGATCTGGGGAGAGTGAATTGGGGTCTGTCTGGTCCCAGCTATGCCATCCACCCTGAGATTCCTGGTGTGGAACGTGGCCCTGGCTTTAGGCACATGCTCAAAGGTCCAGTGTCCGGGCCAGAACCCATGGGCCATTGTCGGCCTTGTTAAACATCTTAGTATGTGTCTGCAGAGCAATTGGGAAGTCATTGAAGAGTTTTAATGACGAGGGAGCTGTGATCTGATTCTGAACACTTCCTGGTTAGGGCAAGACCCAGAGGCACATAGGGTGTGATACTGACCTTGCTGGGAAAGTCCAGATGTCAGTGACCGGAGCACCAGGAGACATCCCTCTCCTCTACCTTCAGTCTTCACCGGGGTGCCATGGCTGGGCATGCTCTGGCAATCTACACATCATTCAGAACAAAGCCAAAAAGGTCTTGTTAATCAAAGGGGACGGGTGTCTTGAGAACTAAATGTTCACATCTCTCGGGAGCCAGTTTGGGTTGGGCCTCTGGTCTGGAGGCACTGATGACCGCTGCCAACCTTGATAGGACAGGAACGGACCCTCCAAGCCTGGGTAATGAGGCCCAGGCACCAAAGGGAAGAAACTTTCACAAAGCTCTTAGACTTCTTTCTCCTCTTGGGCTGATCTCTCCTGCAGTGTGGGTCTGGCCACGCCCTCTGCAGGGCCCTGAGAGGTAGGTACCCTGCAGGGATGGCAATCGTTTTCCCTTTCGCTCCACTGAACCAGGCACGGGTCTAAGTTTCAAATGCAGCAAGTGGCTCTGCTCCAAAACAGCCCTTTAAGTGCTCCCCCCACTTTTTGGGGGGGGTGGGGTGTACAGTGTAAAAACAAAACACTTGTTTGTGATGAGCTGGCCTTGGGTGGCTGTTTTCAGCTTCGGCCCTCTGGGGTTCGTCTTTGGCCTTGTTTACTATCGGGTCAGTGGTGTGGGGCTGAGCTGAAGGTCCACACCCCCAGGGGGCTGGTGTTTCTCCCCCAAAACGGAAGTGCCTCACAGTGGTCGTGGGATAGACACCTTCTTACCAACCGAGAGAAGGGGGCGGGCAGCCTAGCTCTCAGTAGTGTCCCCACCTGTCACAAGCAGGCACTGTCGGCAGACTGCCGCTTACACCCCTTGACAGTCACCAAGGGCCTCACGCAAAGCCCTCTACGGATGCTTGGTTCCTGGTGAATAACAAATGTGAAATGAATAAACGAAGAACTTTTCAAATAGCTAACAACCACTCTAGTTCAACTTAGCTCTTTTTTTTTTCTCATTATGTAAAATTTCAAACAAGTACAAGATTAGAGAGAATAGTATATGAAACCCTATGTAGCCATTACCCACCCTCAACTCATGGCCAATCTTACATCTTTTATCCTCCCACCCACAATCCCCCACCTGGATTTTTAAAAAGCAAATCCAAACCATCAAGTCATTTCATCCTAAAACATTTCATTGTGTATCTTTAAAAGATAAAAACTCCAAAAAATACAACACCATTATTACACCCCCCAAATTTATAATAACTCCTTAATGTCTTCAAATATTTCGTCATTATTCAATGTCTTCAGTTTTCTCTATTCTGCTTAATTTTTTACTTCTTTGTTTTGTTTGAATCAGGATCCAAATGAGATTGGCTTTTGGATAAATGGATCCTTAATTTCTGTCTATATTATACTATATTTTGGAGGCAGAGAGTTCGCAAACTATTCACGGTAGCAGAATCATATTTATTAAATTTCACTTTCCCCAAAAAAATGTTTTTCAAGGTTTTTTGCTTTATATTTCCCTGGCAGTTCCCTGAAACTCTAGGACTCTCCTGGAATTAGAAACTTATTTTTTTCTACTTTTAGCATATTATTAGAGATTTTTCTAAGCACAGTCCTAGAAAAAAATTACATTAAAAAAATCTTTGAGTGTTTGAGAAATATTTGTTGCATAATAGTTTCAAGAGTTTCAATAATATCAGAAAACTGATAACCATCAGTATTCCTGGCTTGGTTGGTGAAAGTTTTTAGGAAAAAAAAAAAAAAGGTTTTTACTCCAGAGACCATAAAAACTCCTTTGAACATTTCAAAAGTGGGAACCAGCGTCTTCTCTCTAAGAAATAAAACCTCTTGCTCTACATTAAAATACCACCTGGTACTATTAAACTCTCTGAGGTTATTGACTGTGGGCCTCTTACCAATGAGTTCTCAATTTTCATATTAAAAACGAATATATTTTCTGGTCATGCCTACAACTCTTCCTTTGAAGGTGTGTGTGTGTGTGTGTGTGTGTGTGTGTGTGTGTGTGTGTGTGTTCACCTACACCTTCTTATTATTGAATGTGATTTATGGATTTCTTTCCCACTCACTACTTGTAAATCATCAAGAGTTTTATGTCCCAAGCAGTCAGCAGTTGGTTATAAAATCAACAGAGAGCTGTACTAAATAAACCCTTACTGGATTGCTCCTAAGAACTGATGACAAATCAGAAAGTGAAGACAATTCCATGGGAATGATTCTCTCCTGCCTCTGGGATACCACAAAGTTCTCAGATATGGGGATTTTATTTGTCTTGCACTTTTAGGAAGATTAATAACCAGATGAACTGGGAAGGAAGTAAGTTTTCTAGGTTCCAGAAGTTTCCTTATAACAAAGAATTTTTCCTCCAGCACAAAACCTACACATGTGTAAATCATAGACACAAATATGTGTGCTGGAGTCTGTGCTTACACACAAGGGGCTGGAAATGAAGCTATGTGATTTTCCTGTTTTAACCTTCCATTAGTTTAAAAGAACACATTTTTTTTTTTTAAAGGGGTATGTGTGTGCATACTCTTTTTTAAATATATAGAATACCTCTTGAAGAAGACTTAAAAACTGGTAATAATCATGTCTGGGGCAGAGGATGGGAGACCTATTTTTCACTTTAATTCATGCTAATTAATAAATTTTTTTATCATGTTCATAATATTGCCTGTTCATAAAATTATTTTTAGAATACAGGAAGAAAAGGAAATGATCTCTCTCCATGTGCTTTTAATGTTAACCTCATCTTCTTGAGTCCAAGGATAAATGATTTTCATTGTCACTGCTGCTTATACATGTAACAGGTAAACACACACAAGACACAGAAACAAATGTGGTATGTATACATACATCTATGTGGACACAAGGCAATGTAATATGAGTAACACTTCTATATAGACACACACACACACAAAGTCTCTGGGGGAGAGAACAGAGCTTTCACTGTGTACGTGAAAGAATTTTCACACATACATGTTGTTGCTAAAGTCCTCTGCCCATGGGGTAAAACACTGACCAACGTCAGTGTAACAGCAGCGCACAGAGCCATGAATCTGATTCCACATGGTTCTTCCTTGGATGATTTGTCTCAACCCAGATTCCTCCTTCACACGTGAAAAACTGTTCACAGCAGACAGCCATTCACTTACCAAAGAGCCACCACCATTGTACCTTCAGAGGTGAAACAGAGCAACCTAAGTAAATGGATTCCTCATCAGGAGCTCCAGGGATTAACTCTGCATGCTTCCCCTGCCTCCCCACCCCAAGTGGGTGTGAGAGGGAATCGTGGCTACAGCAGCCCCCCCTGCTCCTTTCTGTCCTGGAATTGGTCAGGGGCTCCTCCTCCGGGGCCTGTGGGGCTGGTCTGGTCCCACCTCAACCAGGAAGGACGCCCTGATCCCTCAACAGCCTAAACGGGAGCCACACAAGCATGCTTGGAATTTTTCAGAAGGCAAATAGATCGCTTTGTGTGCCGTCTACAAAGCTCAAAGAGGACAGGTTTAGGCTAGAGTGTGTCTGTGCCTCATTAGAGCCCCTTGGAGGCCATGGCGGGGGGGCTCATCCTTGGGGGTCACCTTTCTGGTCCCTGTGCTCAAGTGACATCCCAACTGACTTCCCAGCCTACCCTGTGGTCCTCGAAGGCCTGTGGCAGGAGGCACCATAGTTATTCACTCGTGCATTTGGCAGACGTTCTCAAAACTGAACAAAATGAGCCTGTCACTTCAAGGGAAATAACTGACAGTATTTGTTGCCAATGATAACATTCAACCTTTCAAGTGAAAATTAGAATTTTTGAAAACTTCTATTTGTCATTGTGAGCTTGACAACTTCTCCAAAAGTGGACTTTTCTTTTGAGATCGGTATTGATATTTTAAAATGTAATTTCTAAAAATTTATATAATGAAATGTGTCAGCATTTGAAAGGTCAGTATAACTCAGTGAACGAATATTTTCCACATGACCACTACATGATATTACAAAATCATGTGTGGGAAAAATGAACTCAGTGTACAAGATAGACCAATGGATTTTAATGTGACAGAGTACAAAATGTTCATTGATACAATTTCAGATTCCACATTGCAACTAGCCTTTCAGAACTTACCACCTGGGTTTTGGTCTGGTATCCAAGAGGAATATCCACAATTACCTGAAAAGTTTTTAAAATACTTCTGTATTTTCCAACTACACATCTGTGTGAGACCAGATTCTCTTCATACAGTTCAACCAAAACAACACATGGCAACAGATTCAAAGCAGAAGCAGGTATGAGATATGAGAGTCTGGCTGTCTTCTGTTAAGTAAGATAATAAACAAATCTGCAAAAATACAAAACAATATCACTTCTCATTTTCTTTTTTCCTTTGGAAAAATATGCTATTTAATACAGAAAGAGTTTATAATTGTAATTTTCATGTTTTAATATTTTTGAAGGTCCTGGAGCTGTTTTAATTTTCCAGCTTTATTGAGGTATAACTGACAAAAAATTGTAAGATATTTAAAGTGTATGATGTGATGATTTGATATGTGCATTATAATTTTTAAATGAATAAACAAATATTTTATGCTTTTTTGGCTTTAATTTCTAATATAGTAAATGGTAAATACTAATAGATAGTCCATAAACAAAAGTTCTTTGGGTTCCTCAGTAAATTTTACAGGTATAAAGGGTTTTCAAGACCAAAAATGTTAAGAACTGCTGGCGTATATTACTGGGGGGAGAGGGAGAGGCGGCAACGTGCCCAGCAAAAGACTACACTTCCCAGCCTCCTTTGCAGCTAAGTTTGGCCATATGACTAAGTTCTGGCTAACTGGATGTAAGGAGACGTTTTTGGAAGGGGCTTCCTCAAAGACTGCTTAGAAAACAGCCGGGGGAATTCCTTTTTTGACTTTCGCTTTTTCCTCATTCTGTTTTTCTTCCTTGAAGACTACGACTTATATGTGATCACAGAAGCTTCAGCAGCTACCTTGAACCACGAGGTGACCTTGAGGATGGCGACTACTTGTTACAAAGATGGAACAGCAAGATAGAAGAAAGCTGGGTCCCCAATGACAATGATGCTGCCTGACTATCTATGTCAGAGTTCTTCTAAGAGAACTTTTTGAGAGAGAGAAATAAACTTTGAAATCTTGTTTAAGTCAGTATTATTTTGGTCTGTCTGTTCCACATAGTGGAACCTAATTCTGCTCCTTTTAAGTGTGGCAATGTGCTAAGACCAGCTACAAAGGACCTATTTTATGTGGATTATATAATTATTTCATAGGTATTTCTAAGATTGGGTTTTATTCCCATGTCAACCACTGTCTTAAGGTGTGATGTTGAAAAAGCATTATTCAGGGTTAGTATTATAGGCACTCAGAAATTCATTCACATTGTAAAGCAATGATACTCCAATAAAGGTGTTAAAAAAAAAAAGAAGTTCATTCAACTCTTTGAGCTACAAACATTTAGGAAGCCCATCTCATTGGCAGGCAGTGAAGCAAGCACTGGGTACTCCTGCGCTCAGAGCCCTTGTGGTCCGTGGAGGACATCGCCTCACTCCAGGACCTAGCACTGCCCTCACAGCTCTGCTGCAGGCCCTACACTAGGATAACAGACTATTCTGGGTATGGAGAGAAAAGCAGACGGCTTGTCACTTAATTGGTATTTCCAGGGCGTGACTTAAAGTTCTCTTGAATAAATTTCATTGTCACTACACTCACTGAACCAGAATGGCCCAAATAAACCAAAAGACTTCCCTCTCCTTAATTTTGATGGGTTAACACATCTCACATCCCCGATTAGCCACGTCAGTTGTTGAGGGCTCTCTCACGCTACATTGTCAATATTGTTAGTAACTGCCTGGATTTGAAAGTCCAGTTGTAGGAGGTCATCAAACCTTGTCCATGGAACCACCTGTGACTTAAATCCTCTAAGCAAAGGCAACTTTCTATGGACCCTCAGCAGTCTCTTCTCTCCTGTTATACAGAATCTATTACCATTTATGTGGGGGCATCACAGGTGGGGGCTGGATAAAGGAGAGACACACAGAAGCCTTACTTGCAAAGTCCAGTAGATTCCAGAAGGGGAGCATCTTTGGGGTAAGCAAATCTCTCCCAAGCTCCTTGGGTGCGGAATGGATTCAGGCCGGATCTGACCACTACACAGCCTGCTAAGGACTAAACATAATAATATTGTTGATTAAAAACTGCACATTCTACAGAGCTGTAGTTATTGACTCATGCTGCACTGACAGGGACAGCAGTTTTAAGTAAACGCATAGGCTGAGTTAGAATACTGCCTCTGTCGCTTATTAGCTGGGTGACTTGAGGCACGTGGCTTAACCTTGCTGAGCACAAGACATAGTTATGTCCATGTCCTCAAGTCATGCTGCTCACTCTAGCAGATGGGCTAACATGGGCCAAAGTGTGCTGACATAGTATAAGAAATGATTTTTCTATTAACTTTACCCTATCCTCATCTATCATGCAGGATCAGATTTGTTTTTGTATAAATAAAAACCCCAAATAACTTTAACTTAAACAAGATAAGTTTATTTCTCTCTCACATATAAAAAATCCGGAGGTAGATAGTGTCAATACAAGGCTGATCCCTCTGTCACCAGTGGCCTCTTTTGCCACCACCCAAATTTAGCACCTGGCTTTCCTCCTCCAAGTCGTCTCATGGTCCATGATGGCTACTGAAGCTCCGGCGTTATGTCTACATTCTAGAAGGTAGGAGAAAAAGAAAAGAAAAAAAAGGACACACCTCTCACCTGATTTGATTCCTTTCAAGAAATCCTTTCTGGAAGTTCCATGTCATACTTCCACTTCTACCTCTTTGACCAGAATTTGATCCTGTGGCCATACCAAGCTGCAAAGACATCTGGGAAATGTAAATTTTTAAAAATTACAAAGGGAAAAGAGTAGAAAAAATAAAGGACACCATTGGAAGAAAGGATGAAATTGGAGGATGTACTGTTGACTATATAAAAAAGAGTAGAACAGATATTGGGTAAGCCACTAGCAGCCTCTTTCATACTTGGTTCTCTCTCTCTCTCTCTCTCTCTCTCTCTCTCATTCACTTTAGTCGGATTCCAATATCTGCTCAAGAATTTGGAACTTTTCAGAAAATGTTTGTTTTAAATCCCTCTGCTGAACCAAAAATATTAACTCTGAAATGCCAAGTATAAATACACATGCCAGATGCAAGGTTTCAGCCAAGAAGTTCAACTTGTAATTTTAGAATGACAGATGCGCTCGTGGTGGGGGGAGCATCAGTGAGTTACAGAGCATCTACGCTGTAAAACAGGCGAGCTTTTGACCGAACCGTGAGTCAACAGATTTGCTTGTATCACATATTTGTCTCATTTCTCTGGGTTTTTGTGGGATTTTTGGTCAGCCTCTTTGTCCCATTTGAAGGACGTTAGTTGTTATAGGAAATGGTGACATTAAATTCAGATGGCAGGATCTGATGATACTGACATATGCAAAACAAAGTGAGTTCATTCCAGAAGCTGTGACTTAGTAAGTTCAAATTGCTCAGAGTTTAACTTGCTCCCTGAGTTTGGAGAGGAGGTTGGGGTAGGGGGAGTGTGGGAAGCCAGACACCTTTGGGAGCTGCCATAACTTCTTTGGGGCATTAGAGCTATATTTATTGCAATTAAGTTGCTAATTCAGTAAAAACTGCACAGTTCCCTTGCGGCCTGGGAGAGGGAAAGGCAGCTGCTAAGAGTGGCTGATTTATAATCACGGAATGACCTAGGTACCAGGGGAAATAAGCCAGATTCTTCCGAGGGCCTAAATCACTCTCTCAGCCAGGCGATCAAAACAGCATGCTCACCCTGGGCAGAGCACCGGAGTTGGGTAGCCTCCAAAACCAGGCTTGAAAAATTCCCAGTTTTCAGTGGGATTAGACCCCTGCCTCTCCCTCATCCCTCAGAAGGATGCAGGAAGTGTTAAGAGAGCCTGCAAAGACTCAGAGATCAGTACCTATGCTCTCCTTAACCTCAATCCCAGCCCTAGGGAAAACAAGACTCAGAAAAGTGTGTATTTAGTCTGTGATCTCTCCCACTAGCGAGTTCAGGTCATTGAAGACCACATATGGGGGCGAGCAGAGCGAAGCTGAAGGGCTAGCAGGTTGTATACCCCACATCCCCAGGGGATGCCATTCTCAGCATAGTCTAATTCAGTGGTTCTCAAACATGGTTGCATATTAGAATTACCTGAGAAGTTAAAAAAATCTCAGTGCCCAGATTGTACTTCAAACCAATTAAATCAGACTCTCTGGAGGAGTGACCAAGACATTAATAATGTTTAAAGTCCCCCAAGCGATTCCATTGTGCAGCCGGGTTTAAGAATCAATGGTCTACCCTCAGAATGGGAGAAAATATTTGCAAATGAAGCAACTGACAAAGGATTAATCTCTAAAATTTACAAGCAGCTCATGCAGCTCAATATCAAAAAAACAAACAACCCAATCCAAAAATGGGCAGAAGACCTAAATAGACATTTCTCCAAAGAAGATATACGGACTGCCAAGAAACACATGAAAGGATGCTCAACATCACTAATCATTAGAGAAATGCAAATCAAAACTACAATGAGGTATCACCTCACACCAGTCAGAATGGACATCATCAAAAAATTTGCAAACAATAAATGCTGGATAGGGTGTGGAGAAAAGGGAACCCTCTTGCACTGTGTGTGGGAATGTAAATTGATATAGCCACTATGAAGAACAGTATGGAGGTTCCTTAAAAAACTAAAAATAGAACTACCATACAACCCAGCAATTCCACTACTGGGCATATACCCTGAGAAAACCATAATTCATAAAGAGTCATGTACCACAATGTTCATTGCAGCTCTATTTACAATAGCCAGGACATGGAACAAACCTAAGTGTCCATCAACAGATGAATGGATAAAGATGTGGCACATATATACAATGGAATATTACTCAGCCATAAAAAGAAATGAAATTGAGTTATTTGTAATGAGATGGATGGACCTAGAGTCTGTCATACAGAGTGAAGTAAGTCAGAAAGAGAAAAACAAATACCGTATGCTAACACATATATATGGAATCCAAAAAAAAAAAAGATCATGAAGAACCTAGGGCAAGACAGGAATAAAGACACAGACCTACTAGAGAATGGACTTGAGGATACGGGGAGGGGGAAGGGTGAGCTGGGACAAAGTGAGAGAGTGGCATGGACATATATACACTACCAAACGTAAAATAGATAGCTAGTAGGAAGCAGCCACGTAGCACAGGGAGATCAGCTCGGTGCTTTGTGACCAGCTAGAAGGGTGGGAGGGTGGGAGGGAGGGAGACACAAGAGGGAAGAGATATGGGTATCTACAGAGTATATCATATACAGAGTATATGAATAACTGATTCACTTTGTTATAAAGCAGAAATTAACACACCATTGTAAAGCAATTATACTACAAAAAAATGTTATATAAAAAAAAGCATCAATGGTCTGACTCATGTAGACTTCGATGTGAATGGCCCCTGCTGCAGCTGTGCTGGGGACAAACTGCACAGACGTATGTCACAGCCCTGGGTGGCGGTGGAGAAGAAGAGAGGCAGAGGACAGCAGGGAGACGAGTATGCCTTCTGGAAAGGAAGAACTCAAAAGGGAATCTAGAAATTGGGCCTCAAACCAGCAACTTGTGACTAGGGTGAAAAATTAAGGCACTATATGATTTGTGGTCCCTGAGTGGCTTATATGATTGCAAATTTCACTTTTAATTTGCCCCAGTTCCTGAGCTCATTTCTTGGATATTTTATTTTCTAAGACATGTATTTTATTTCATTAAAACAGCAACCCACACTCAAGTGTCACTTCAGAGTTTGCAAAGCACTTTTTCCATACCCACCATCCTTACTGGGCTGCACACCTTGTAAAGACCCTGCCCTAGTTTGTGGAGTCCGAGACCCTTTCTCCGTCAGATCCAGATGCCATTGGAACTGGATGGTCAGTTTTCCATTTATGGTTTCTGCTGGGAATTTTTCTTTTTTTTTTTTTTTTGTCTTCTTCTCTGAGTTTTCAATTCCTATGGGCAGACTTAGAGGATAGAGCTTAAGGGAGAAATCAGCATTTATGATGTAGCCTCATCCTCACCAAACTTCACCCTCAAGCTGGACTCCAGGTCAAAGGGCCCTGCCAGCCCCCCACCAAAGTCTCAGTGTTTGGAACAAAGGAATCACTCAGTGATACTTGTGCAACATGTGCACAGGTGAATGGTGCAGCGGCAAACCCCGCTGGGAGGCCACAGGTCAGAATGAAGGCTCTGGGTGCTGAGAGGGAAATGATGGCCCCGGAGAAGAATGGAACATGTGTGGTTATTCATTTATTTTATTGAAGTATAGTTGATTTATGGTGTTGTGTTAGGTGTTAGTTTCTGGTGTACAGCAAAGTGGCTCAGGTTTTTTTTCAGTTTTATGTATATATATTCTTTTTCAGATTCTTTTCCATTATAGGCTATTATAAGATACTGAATATAGTCCCCTGTGCTACACAGTAGGACCTTGTCTTTTATCTTTTTTTTTTTTTTTTTTTTTTGTTGTACGCGGGCCTCTCTCTTTTTTTTTCTTTTCCTTCTCCGAGCACAGGCTCTGGATGAGCAGGCTCATCAGCCACGGCCCACGGGCCCAGCTGCTCTGCAGCATGTGGGATCCTCCCGGACCGGGGCACGAACCCGTGTCCCCTGCATCGGCAGGCGGACTCTCAACCACTGCGCCACCAGGGAAGCCCTATTTTTAGTTTTTTGAGGAACCTCCATACTGTTCTCCATGGTGGCTGTATCAATTTACATTCCCACCAACAGTGTAGGAGGGTTCCCCTTTCTCCACACTCTCTCCAGCATTTATCATTTGTAGACCTTTTGATGATGGCCCTTCTGACTGGTATGAGGTGATACCTCATTATAGTTTTGATTTGCACCTCTAATAATTAGCAGTGTTGAGCATCTTTTCATGCGCCTGTTGGCCATCTGTATGTCTTCTTTGGAGAAATGTCTTTTTAGGTCTTCTGCCCATTTTTTGATTAGGTTGTTTGGAACATGTGTGGTGAAACAGTTGCAAATTTGGCTGAGGGTTCTTCTGGCCTCAGTCTGCCCTCAGCCTTTTCAAAGGCAATAGTCAAAGGGGCCTCCAACACTGTCCGGATCGCAGTCCTGGTCCTCGAGTGGCTCTCATGCTCACCTGCAGTCGCCAGGCCTCTGGCCTGCACACAGCAGAGCACAGCGGTCAAGGGCCGACTTCTGTAGCCAAAGGCTTGGCGCCTTACAGGCTGAGTGACTCTGAGTACGCCCCCGAAACTATCCCACCTCTGTCCCCTTTATCTGCCCAGGGGGTAGTCTGGGCCTCTTAATGTTGCCCTGAGGCTCAGCATGGGCCTGGAGCCCTGGTAGGAACCCTGTGAATGGTGCAGTGGTGGCCGGGCACAGCTCCGGGGCTACGATTTCACTGCCTTCACCAGGTGAAAACCAGCAGATGGAGGCTGGTGACCCTCTAGGTCTCCCTGGGCCCTGATTTGATGGGTGCTCTGTCCCGACCATGGTGTGAGTTTCATGGGTCTAGTGAAAGCAAACACTTCTGGCAGATTACATTCAACCTCTAAGGTTGTGGCTCAGTCTTTTTCTTTAAGGACATAGAATGGTGTTTAGTAAAGCCGGTTCTGGAGTCAGAACAGGCTCATCTCTCTCCATTATTCTCTTATGACCTTTGGCAAGTTCTTGGCCCTGCTAAGTCTCAATTTCCACATCTTTGGGAATGGAAGCAACATTACTATCCAGGTCATAAGGTTTATTGGGAGAATCAAAGGATATAATGCCTGGAACATAATTAGCACCTGATAAAAAAGAGCTGATATTGCTGGGCAATCTTGTTTACATCCCCCCTCCTCCCCGTGGGCCAGGTCTGGAGGGTCTCTCTGGGCCCCATGGCTTCCCATGGCAGTTCCTGCCAGCTTCAGCTCTGCTCAACTCCAAGCTTCCCCAGGGAGCCCTGTTTTCCAGGAGTTTCCATTCCAAAGTGTCGCCACCTGATAGAAATTCCTGATCTCCAAAAAGAGCTCTTGCTTCCTAGGGAAATAACCACTCAAGAAAATATTCTAACATTTGATCACATTGTCAATGTGCCCCATTAGGTCCCCTCTCTCTTCTTCCCCACTGCTTCTGTGGGCAGACCACGTCCTGTTTCAGCAGGGCTTCTGTATTCTAAGACATTGTGCTATTCAAAACGGACACTTTCTCAGACCTAGAGATGATCATACTAAGTGAAGTAAGTCAGACAGAGAAAGACAAATACCATATGATATCACTTACATGTGGAATCCAAAAAATAATACTAATGAACTTATTTACAAAACAGAAACAGACACACAGACAGAAAACAAACTTAGGGCTACCAAAGGGGAAAGGGTGGAGGTATGAATTAGGAGTTTGGGACTAGCAGATACAAACTAATATAAAAAATAGATGAACAACAAAGTCCTACCATATAGCACAGGGAATTATATTCAATATCTTGTAACAACCTATAATGGAAAAGAACATGAAAAAGAATATGTATATACGTATAACTTAACCACTTTGCTGTACACCAGAAACTAACATAACACTGTAAATTAACTATACTTCAATTAAAACATAATAAAAAATAGGGGCTCCCCTGGTGGCACAGTGGTTGAGAGTCCGCCTGCCGATGCAGGGGACGCGGGTTTGTGCCCCGGTCCGGGAGGATCCCACATGCCGCGGAGCGGCTGGGCCCGTGGGCCATGGCCGCTGATCCTGCACGTCCAGAGCCTGTGCTCTGCAGCGGGAGAGGCCACAGCAGTGAGAGGCCCATGTACCGCAAATAATAATAATAATAAAAATAAAATAAAATGACACTTTCTCCAAGGTAAGCCAGTGCCCCCCCTCAAGCCTGGCAGACTGCTCTGCCCAAAACACAGGGCTTGGGAGGGGTGACCTGCACAAGCGGACAACTCCTAGACTTAATAATAACTCGTTTCCCCTGTATTGAACTATTTTGTGTTTATTTATGGCCCTAAGCCCCACCTACACCAATTTGACATCACTGTTTCGATAGCAAATAATTTTCAAATGGAATAAAGCAGAAGCTGAAAGCCCCACAAGATGCAGCTGAATGAGACAAACGTGTTCCTTAAACAATGGATACAATGGAGCGGTGTGGCTGCCAGCCTGTGTATTTATGTTCCAGATGACTTCCGTATCTCCACCCCTGTTTACCCCACTAATGAGGAATGAGGAAGGCTGGCTGCTACAAAAACAATACGCCACAACTTCACAAATCCCATAGGAGCATATATTTATTTTTTGTTGTTGTTTTTTTAAATAAATTTACTTATTTATATTTTATTTTTGGCTGCATTGGGTCTTCATTGCTGCACGCGGGCTCTCTCTAGTTGTGGCGAGCGGGGGCTACTCTTCATTGTGGTGCTCGGGCTTCTTATCGCGGTGGCTTCTCTTGTTGCAGAGAATGGGCTTCAGGTGCATGGGCTTCAGTAGTTGTGGCACGTGGGCTCAGTAGTTGTGGCTCACGGGCTCTAGAGCGCAGGCTCAGTAGTTGTGGCACACGGGCTTAGTTGCTCCGTGACATGTGGGACCTTCCTGGACGAGGGCTCGAACCCGTGTCCCCTGCATGGGCATGCGGACTCTTAACCACTGTGCCACCAGGGAAGTCCCGGGAGCATATATTTATAACAGAGACGTGACTTTCACATTCAAAGTTAAGACTTAAGGCTTCCCTGGTGGCGCAGTGGTTGAGAATCTGCCTGCTAATGCAGGGGACACGGGTTCGAGCCCTGGTCTGGGAGGATCCCACATGCCGCGGGGCAACTAGGCCCGTGAGCCACAACTACTGAGCCCGCGCGTCTGGAGCCTGTGCTCCGCAACAAGAGAGGCTGCGATAGTGAGAGGCCCGCGCACCGCGATGAAGAGTGGCCCCCGCTTGCCACAACTAGAGAAAGCCCTCGCACAGAAACGAAGACCCAACACAGCAAAAATAAATTAATTAATTAATAAACCCCTACCCCCAACAACTCCTTTAAAAAAAGTTAAGGCTTATTAATGAAGCCCTGCATCTGGAGCATTTGCTACTCCTCAACATTTCAAAGGAAGCATTTGGACTTAAATTCTCTACAGAACTTAGAATAGACCCCGGAGTCTCACTCTCGTTCACTGTCTGTAGCCCTCCTTTGGCACCCAGAATAGGTTCTTTTATTGGCTGCCTAGATTTTTATGTTTAGGTGTTGAATATAAGCTCCTTAAGGCAGGGGCCCTGCCTTACAACAGAGACCTTGATGTCCCAGAATCCAGCACAGAGTCTTACACATAGAAGTAGGTGTTTCTGTTTCCTGAGGAACAGGGTGATGTAATACTTGCCCAAGAGAGATGGGAATCCATGTGACAGGTAATACCTGAATACGCTGAAGTACATTTTGTTCCAGGACGTCCTCAAAGGACATGAACTCATTCTCACCTTCACTTCGCGAAGTGTGGTCCACGGATCAGCAGCGGGACATCACCTGGAGCTTGTTAGAGTCTCAGGCTCCAGCTCAGCCCTCCTGAGGTAGAACCTGCATTTTAACAAGGTTCCCAGGTTGTTTATGTGCATATTAAAGTCTGAGAAGTCTACACTATCTTCATGTGGGTGGTTGAGAGCAGTGTTCAAGTCAGAGTGCGTGTGTATAAAAGAGGGAGCGTGACAGAGACAGAGAAGCCAATAGTAACATTCTCTGAGCGCTCAAAAAGAGCCTCAGAAGTAGGTACTATCATTATCCCATTTTACTAACTAGCGAGTTGTGGAGATCGAATTAAACCTACGGAGTGGGCACTCGTAAACCATTCTGTTAGGTATCCTAGGAGCTGTGGGAATCCTGTGGCATTCACTACCTCAGTAACACCTGGGAAGAATTCTAACTCACATTCAGGTAGCAGCTTCCTCTCACGGAGCGTCTACACACCGACAGGACTTCAGGCAGCCTATATTCTTTACCCTCTAAAACATGTTTTACGAGCAATACCAGCTTACTGCAGAACAATTAGAAAATACAGATAAGCACAAAGAAGAAAGTAATGCCCAGTAATGACAACATAGTTAACATTTTAATAAATATACTTCCATATATCATTCTATGTATAGATATGAGTGTCTGCATGCAGATGTATATACTCATACATGTTTTTAACAAAAAAAAATCATTGTATCCATACCATTTTGTGACTTTCTCTGTTTTAAAATACCTGTAGAATTGTATAATAGATTTCTCCAGCTCTCACCTTCTTCTTTTCTCTGCAACTCTTTTAATTCCCACCCGTCCTTGAAAAAAATTAGCTCAAGGTGCACCTCCTCCAAGAAGCCTCCCCTGGTCACCCAGCCCATGGGTACTGGTGACACTCAACTGACACGGCCAGCTTGGCCACCTCTACCTGTGTGTCGCGTAATGCTCATCCCCAGGTCAGGTCAGCTCAGAACAGGATTCGGACGATATTCATAGGACGCTGGTCTTGTCCTCCAGCTCCCGCGCAGGGAAATGTTTCGGCCACAGCAAGCTCCTTTCTCTGGGCTCAAGGGCTCTCTTGAATATCTCAGGCCTTATCTGACCTCTGACCTCTGCCCTCCCCCACGCTGGCTTCTCCCCGCTCCCTGCACTTACCCATCCACTGTGTTAATATACCCTCTTCTCAGCCACAGCTGATGCTCTGCTGGCGGCTGAGCTGAATTAGAATTAACAAGTGAAATTGTCAATACTCTTCTGTTTTTGACCTACCTCAATGGCAGTTCCGTGAGGTTCACCCTGATACTCCCCCTCTTCCACTGGATGGGACCACGCCTCTGTTTAGCTCTGACAGCTGTTCCTATTACCTGGAGCAAAGACCTCCCCACCTGCCTTCCACTCCATCATTGGGGCACAAAGCAGAACGAAGCTCTCCTCTCAGTTTCCCTCAAGCTTCTGGTGGACCAGGTCTGTCACTGAACCTGCTCTTTCTTTCAGGTGATATCACGTTCTCCTGAAGAGGCTGCCCCAGAGCCCTTGGGTGGACTGGACTAGAAGACAATCAGAGTAACCTGCAATGGGCAGAGCCGAGAATGGTTCCTCTTCACTGACTGCTCACCTGTGTCCCTGGCCTGGCTTGGTCTCCACAGGGGGCCACATCCTTATCAGGTCACTGCCTGGGAGTCCGAGGGGGCCAGCGCTTCTCTCGTGCTTGATGTTACCATCACTCCAAAGAGGCTGCTGCCTTCTGACCTCACTCATGCCCAAACGCCCCAAATTTCTCAGTGGGTGTCAGCTCGCACCCTTGCTCTGGGGGTTTTGTCATCATTAGCTTCCTCTTTCTACCTGCTTGGCCGGTAGCATGTGTGGGATCGTATTGGTGGGCTCAGCTGGGTTTCGATTTCTGGCTCCAACACTTGCTAGCTTGCATCAATTTCTTTGGTGTCTCAGGGTCTCATTTTTCTCATGTTAAAAGGAGATAATAAGAGTGCCTGCTTCATTAGGTAGTTTTGAGGGTTAAACAGAACCACCCATGAGAGATGCTTAGAGCGGTGCCCAGAACACTGAAAGCACTTAATAAAATCTAGCCTGGAGGCACTAACGACATTTCCCACCTCTGAGCACTTTGGTGTGTGCCTGAATACATACTTGGTGAATGATTAACGCTACCTGTAAGAAAACAGAGGCAGCAGTGTCTGTGTTAATTATAGGGCAAGCAGACTGTAGGGGGGGAGAGTGAGTGAGGGGAGACGTAGGTAGAGGAGTCTGTGTCAGAGGGACACTGCGCCCGGTCCCCTAGCTCCTGGTCACACCCATCGCCCCAAACCGCTCACCCCTGGGGGCATTTCTGTCCAGCACCTACATACGCTCAGGTAACTGCAGGGGCTTCTGGAAGCCCCAGGCGGGAGCAGCATGAATTCCAGAACCTTGGGGAAAAAGTGTCCTCACCCCATAAAAAAGTCATGTACGCCCCCAAGAACCAGGGAACCAACTGCAGAGACATCGTAAACATCAGGATCTGACGACTTCAACAGCGGATTATTCAGTTCCAAATATATACAAAGACTTCACATTGATGTGTAACTTCTGAAGATCTGTGGAAATCAAAGACCAAGGAACAAGAGGGAACTCTGCAGGGAGAAATGCTCCAAACTGTCAGCACTAGGTGAGCGCTTACACTGGGAGCAAGCCGGGACGCTTGGGACACACGTGTTACCATTCAGGCCTCCCTGGCACTTTCAACCCCGCTCCACTGAAATAACCCAAAAGTGCCCCCACCCCTCGCCAGCTCACTTTCATCTCAGCTTCCTTTCTATGCACCACCATGGTTTTCACATTTAGTTTTATAATAATACATATTAAGTTTATATTTAGCTCTGTTTTAGACGTGTGTAGCGACCATTTGGTGAACGAGCATTGCTTATAGAAATATAACGGCGCAAACAAACACGAGGTGGGTACGGTGCATGCAGTGTACAGTGGGGCTGACCTGTGGTTAGTGTCCTGTTTTTATTTTTTTGCGGTACGCGGGCCTCCCACTGCTGTGGCCTCTCCCGCTGCGGAGCACAGGCTCCGGACGCGCAGGCTCAGCGGCCATGGCTCACGGGCCCAGCCGCTCCGCGGCATGTGGGATCTTCCCGGACCGGAGCACGAACCCGTGTGCCCTGCATTGGCAGGCGGACTCCCAACCACTGCGCCACCAGGAAAGCCCTAGTGTCCTCTTTAATTGCTCCAGCCTTCAGTGAGGATTTCTGCTCAAGTTGTAAGATTTGGAAACTTCTGCTAAGTGGGGAGGCAGCGGGCATGTATTTTTGCAAGACTGGCTACTAATTCATACATGACTACAAAATGACAACGTGGGGCTCCTTGTTCAGAAATTAAGAGTTTCAAGATGGCGACGGCAGAGCATTAAACCAAGTGCAAGGCTCTTCTGAGTGTGAGGCTCTGGGTGACTGCACAGGGTACATTCCCATATCGTCAGCCCTGAAGTTTAGGCCGCAATGTCAAATTCAAGGAACGTCACATTCCTCTATTTCTCCAAAATAAAATTTAGCCTCCTACGCTGTTGGTGGGAATGTAAATTGGTGCAGCCACTATGGAGAACAGTATGGAGGTTCCTTGAAACACTAAAAATATCAATCCCACTCCTGGGCATATATCTGGAAAAGATGAAAACTCTAATTCAAAAAGATACACGCACCCCAGTGTCATGCAGCACTGTTTACAATAGCCAAGACATGGAAGCAACCCAAATGCCTATCAACAGAAGTGGCATATATATACGAAGATGTGGGATACACACGCACACACACACTCAGCCATAAAAAAGAATGAAATACTGCCATTTGCAGCAACATGGATGGACCTAGAGATTGTCATACTAAGTGAAGTCCTAAGTCAGACAGAGAAAGACAAATATTGTAATGTATCACTTATATGTAGAATCTGAAAATAATACAAATGAAATGAATCTATATACAAAACAGACTCACAGATATAAAAAACAAACTTAGGGTTACCAAAGGGGAGAGGAGGAGGGGGGACGGACAAATTAGGAGTATGCAAGTAACAGATACAAACTACCATCCATAAAATAGATAAGCAACAAGGATTTACTGTATAGCACAGGGAACAATATTTGATATCCTGTAATAACCTATAATGGAAAATAATCTGAAAAAATATATATATATAACTGAATCACTTTTCTGTACACCTGAATCTACACAACATTGTAAGTCAACTATACTTCAATAAAATAATTTAGCCTCCAAATTATTAGGGTGTTCCCTCTCTTAATCCTGCGATCCTACAAGAAACCGGGCTTATGTGGTGCTAAACAATGGCGGGGGTGGGAAGGAGGCCAGGAGGCCCTTGGGCCCTGGTGGCTTCCTCCTTTACCATTGCTCCCGGGGCTACAGGAAGCCACAGCTGACCACAGTCCTCACAGGCTTTTGGGCACTCCTGAAGCTCAGAGAGGCCCTCACAGCTCTCCGCCCCACTGGCCACAGACTTTGCATCTACTAACTATCATACCTCTGCCTCTCCATGTTCCCTGACCCTCCCTTCCCCTCTCCAAGTCTGGGAGAAATCGGAACCCTCTCTCAGGACCTGGCTGCTTCCACTCCCCACCCCCCGAGGCATGTCCCTTCACCTTCCTAAGATGTTTCCAGATCCACCCCCCTCCGAGTGCCTTCAGGAAGACACCGCTGCCCCCTCTTTCCTAAGGATGGAGAAGGGAAAGCAGATACCTACCTCAGTGGGGCAGATTTTTTATATTCTCACCATGATTCACCAAGATTGTGGTGGGGCCTGGACCTCACATCTAGGTCTTCAGATCTCTGCCATTCTTTGCATCCGCAGAGGACTGGGGAAGCCCAGCGGGAGACGGGTAACAGGGGAGTAGGTGGAGCAAATGAAGTGGAGTAAGCACAGACCTTACTGAATGCTGACTCCATTGCCCTCTGTTGTTGTGACCTTAATTTCCCCATCTGTGCAATGGGCAGCAGCACCTGCCTCCCGGGATGGTTGAGGAAATCAGAGCGCACGCTAAGCCCTTTACCACTATTAGTTCTCTCTCTTCCCTTCCCTTCCTCTCATCTTCTAACTTTGAAGCAACCCCAGGCCAAAGGAAAGGAAATCAGAGGAGTTTTGTAGATTTGGAAAACTATCTCAACGTATTCATAACAGACCATTGAGTAAAAATGCAGGTGATAAACTAGCAGAGCCTGATTCCTTTTATGTAACATCACACACACACACATTTCCATCAGAAACGCTCAGAAGGATATTCGCCAAAACATTAATGGTGGTTTTCTTCAAATGGTAGGATTTCAGATGGTTATTACCTGGTTCTTTGTACCTTTATGAGTTATTTACATTTTTTTTACAATGAATATGTCTCTTTTTTAAAAAAATTAAAGCTTAAAAGTGTTGTAAAACACAACTATCTAGAATAAGAGTGGTTGGTTTAGAAGATCTCTAAAGGTGAAATGCATAACAAACATTGTCTGTATCAGGACACTGGGCAAAGCTATGATGTAAGCTCAAAAAATAGCTGCCCCCCAGTATAAACTGGTCCAGCCTCTTCAAGAATCATTTAGCAATATCAAGCAGGACCCAACAATTCTATTTTTTGTTACATTCCCTAGAAAAACTCTCACGGCTGAGCACAAAGAGATACAGGAAAGATGTCAACTGCAGCATTGTAAATAATAGTGAAAAACTGGAGAGCAGGACAATGGCCATCGTCTTAGTCTGTTTGGGCTGCCATGGTGTGGCTTATAAACAACAAACATTTATTTCTCACAGTCCGGAGGCTGGCAAGTTCAAGATCATGGCAGCTGCAGGTCTGGTATGGGCTGAGAGGAGGTGATTCACATTTTATTGGCCAGAACTAGTCACTTGTCCCTTCCCACTGCAAGGAGTTCTTTTAAATGAAAATAGGGCTCAATGTATCTGTATGTTGCTATTATTCTTTAAAAGTGGTCATATGTAGCTTTGTCTAAACATGGGAATGGGTTAAAGGATGTTGTGATAATTTCTGAGTCTGTTTAGTAAGCTTATTGTTATGCAAAGAAACAGGAAACAGAAGCAGGAAACTACTTTAGTTGCTTAAGAAATCATTGCACTAACCCAGGCAGTGGCAATGTGCATTTCTGAAACTCCTAGGGCCCTGGATCACTGTGGGAAACAGGTATCTGACCCTACACTTTCTTCTACTTCCACATAAGCTTATTTCTGTGTTTATTCCTGCTGCTCTCAAAGAGCAACGTCCATCCCAGCCCATTTCCCTATTTCTCCCTCCATCTAACCTTACAGATTCACTCCTAGCTTTGTTTTTCATTATTAATTTTCATACGTTTAATTATTAAAACATTCTGCATATATTTACAAGGCATCTTGCCCTGGAGTTGCTGAAATTCCTCGTCTATTTAAAGAACCCGTCTCCCATTATGGGGCCAAGTTCTGGGCAGAGCAAACAGTTGAGGAAAGAAGTGCTCCCTAGAATCTGAGCACCCTTCAGGCAACACAGTGCCAGGCAGGCAGAGGACCCCGCCTGCAGCATTTGTCATTTAAGGAACAATTACGACACTCTGATTGGGAAGAAGCCCAGTTGAGGCACCCTATGTGGAGAGCCTCCCAGCCCCCTGCCAGAGGGTGGACCAATGCTGAGCTTGTCTTCGCCCTTCGTACCCTATGGATTCTGGTTCTGTCTGTGCAGCCACCGGTGCCCAGTCACCCTCTGGCAAAACCACGGCTCCTCTCTCCCTCTTCTCCCTCCCCCAGGTCCCTAGGGCTGGATAATCCTCGCTTCTTGGAATCTGCCCTTCCCTGGCCCTTGCCCAGCCTCTCCTCCTTGCATCTGCCCCTCTGCAATTGTTTCTTGGCCAATCTCCCAGCCTCCAGTTTCTCCCACACCCAGCGCCCTCTGCCCTTCACCTTATTGGGACTCCAAGAACTTCCCTCAAAACTGCAGCGGCTCCCCCTACAGGACAAAGGAGGAAACTCAGTGGGGCCCCAGACCCTTCTATCACATCCAACCTCACACCTCTATTTCAGCCACTTTCTTCTGCACAGACTTTCAGCCACACTGTGACAGGGTCTATCCTGGGTGAAAGGTAGGTAGGAGGGTCATTTGGCTCTAACCCCATTTTCACAAAGAACCTACAAGTTAAAGTTCTGAAGTAATCTGCAAATGAGGTTATGCGTAGAGTCTCAGAGATAAACTGACAGATGTCCCCATACAACTTTATCTTAGGTCCTGTTACTGGACCACGTTATCTGTGGAGAACTACAAATTAATATGTTTTTAATAAATTCTGTAATTTTTTGGTAATCGTAATTGTTTCTGTAGATGTAAAGCACAATTATCTAGCATTATGTTCAAATAATTAATTGGTCGATGAAGACATACTATAAAATGACCACAAAGGTTATCACTCTGTTAAACATTTCTTTCTCATATCCTTTACTTTCTTCCCTTTTTCTGGAGAGGGTGGGGTTAGGATTCATTTCTTAGCATACAGAATATTATTTTTTTTTTCCCTTTAATGGCCTGTCTTTCCTTGTCTCTGCTGTGCATGTGGCTTTCTCCCCTCCTTCCCCAAATGATCACCAAGCTCCCCCTGCCCAGAACTGTCTCCTTCCTGCTGATCTCAGGCCAGGCTCCTGCCAGGCTCAGTCGTCACCTCCCCACCTCTTGGCCCTCCCATGATGGCTTAGCTCACTGAGCTGCAGTGCACAGTGCCAGCCCTTGTTTGGGCCTGGCATAAACCACCTTGAACTTCATATTGTCTTTCTTCTTGTGCGGCATGTCTTTCCAACTAAACTGGAAGCAGGGGCTGCATCCCACCCTCCTTTTTTGCATCCACAGCTCCCCTCAGTGTGCCCTGAACCCCATTAAGCCCACAGTGAACGCCCCATAAGCCCTTCCTCAGGCTGCTGAGGGTCCAGCTTGCTGTCCCTGTTTGTGGACCCCTCTTAGGGAATGTCCTTTACGATGGGCAGAGATCCTAGGGCAGGCTTTGGGGGGCTCCATGAACCTTGCAAAATCGTGCAAAATCTTCTGTGCGAGTGCAGTTTTATGATGAGAGGGTTTATAACTTTCATCGGAGTCTCA